ACGTTTCGAAATTAAATCGGTAAGATAGAGAAAAATAAGATGTTTACTTCGCGAAAGATCTTCTTGAAATCATGATCTGGTGGGACCAATTGATTCAATAAAATGACATTTCGATGGAAGGATGCAGTAATAGCCATTCTGTAACACACTTTCACACCGCAAATGACAAAAAAAAACTGTGTCAATTAATATTAATCATACAGTTCATAATACACCAATCCTGTAGTCACGGTACGTCCTCTCATTCGGTATTGGAATTCAAGAATAGAGAAGCAAACAACACGAAATAGAAATTATTAAAAAACATTCAAACTTTGTAATTTGAACAATCCAAACTGATCCAAATATTTAACGGCGCCAACGGCGGATGGAAAGACCGTGGAGACCTCTTTCGGAGCAGCTCTTCTTTCTCTTTGGGCGCATTCTCAACGCAGCAGACTCAACGCGTGTATTCGTTTATGCCTAAAGCGGGGAGCACAGACTCTTGCATAACGCATAACATATGAGGCATAAGAAATTGAACCAACCAGAGTTCTCTATTACATGGAAGGGAAAGAAACGGAGAACTTCGATTGGTACACAACGCAGCCGGTCGCTAGTTTGCTCCGAGCAGTCTGAGTGGAAAGACGTGCCTCCGCGTGAAGTGTTTTTCGACTTTGTAACACGGCGCGATGGAGCGTTCACTTGAACAGCGATATGCCATCAAGTTTTGCGTGCGGCTTCGGAAGAATGCAACCGAAACATTCCAGATGCTTCAAGAGGCCTTCAAGGACGACTTTAAGGTCATAGTCCGGGAGGTGGCACAAGGCGTTCAAGCAGGACCGGGAGGAGGTTGCCGACGAACCCCGTTCTGGACGCCCAACAACGGCCAGAACCGACGAAAACGTGAATCGTGTGTGCGAAGTTTTGCGTTCCGACCGTCGATTGAGCATCCAGCACATCGCTGACACCCTACACATGTCCACATTTATGGTACATGGGATAGTGACCGAGGATCTGCAAATGCGCAAGGTCTGCGCGAAGCTTGTGCCGAAAGTGTTGACGGAAGACCAGAAAGAATTTCCGAGTTTTGCGCTGTCAGGAATTGTTGGATTTGATTCAAAATGAGTCGGACTTTCTTAACTCTGTCGTAACCGGAGACGAATCTTGGATGTCGAGTACGACCCAGAATCGAAAAGGCAGAGCAGCGAGTGGCACACAAAATCATCCCCCCCGCCCCAAGAAAGCGCGAATGAGCAAGTCTCGCATCAAAACGATGCTCATTGTCTTTTTTGACGTCCGAGGAATCGTCCATTTTGAGTTTGTACCGCAGGGAGAAACTGTCAACTCAGCCTTGTACCTGGAGGTGCTCAAAAGATTGAAACGCCGGGTTGCGCGCGTGAGGACTGACATCAAAGACACGGTCAAGCTCCACCATGACAATGCCCTCAGCCACACGGCCTTCATCGTTGCCAACTTCCTGGCCCGGAGCAACACCCCGGTGATCCCCCAGCCCCCTTACAGTCCCGACTTGGCTCCGTGCAACTTTTTTTTGTTTCCCCGACTGAAGAGAGAGCTGAAAGGAAAGCATTGGGAGTCCGTGGAAAACATCCAAAAGCATATTACAACGTTCCTAAGAGACATTCCCGTCGAGGAGTTTCAGCATGCCTTCCAGGCGTGGCAGACACGTCTCCGCAAGTGTATTGATGCAGGGGGAGAGTATTTTGAAGAATTTTGAGCATTTGTACCGCTACGATCAATAAATCTATTTTTCCCAGAAAATGCGCATTACTTTTATAATGGACCCTGTATTCTTGTGCATTAAGACCGCAGCACACACTCTTGCATAACGCATAATGCATAGTGCATAAAGGAATCAACCAATCAAAATTCTTCTTTTTTATGGAACAAGAGGAAAGGAAAAATTCTGATTAGTTGATTCGTTTATGCACTATGCGTTATGCGTTATTTCTAGGGGTGGCACCCAGTTGGACACGGCTCAATTGGACACGAGCCACTCACAGAGCTTGAGACTACAAAGCTCCTAAGCACTGGTCGCTGTGATTGGTGGTGTCCAATCGAGCCGTGGTCAATCGGAATCACCTCATTTCTAGCATCGCGTACACAAGGCTTTAGCGCAGAAGTATTATGGCCGCAGCACAGACTCTTGCATGACGCATAAATACATAGTGCATAAGCGAATCAACCAATCAGAATCCCTTATTTCCATCCCCACTTCTCGTTCTGTAGATCTTGCATAGCGCATAAAGCATAACACAAGACGTCGAAAAATCCGTAAAGACGAACTTTTTATGCTATGCAGACATCTTGAAGCTGGAAACACAATAGACATAGGCAATAGGCACAGGCAACAGGGAATAACGAGCCGTCCAATCAGAGCTTTGGGGTATAAGTTTGATATTATATCCCAGAGCTCTGATTGGACGGCTCGTTATTCCCTGTTGCCTGTGCCTATTGCCTGTGTCTATTGTGTTTCTAGCTTAAGTAGCAGGAATACGAAGAATGCTCTCAAGGCCCGTCTACAATACACGAAGTAAGAAGTAAGAGTAAGAAATTGACCAATCACAGTCGAATGTGAGAAGAATAATCGACGGTGATTGGTCAATTTCTTACTCTTACTTCTTACTCCGTGTATTGTAGACGGACCTTGAAGGCCCATCTACAATACACGGAGTAAGAAGTAAGAGTAAGAAATTGACCAATCACAGTTGAATGTGAGAAGAATAATCGACTGTGATTGGTCAATTTCTTACTCTTACTTCTTACACCGTGTATTGTAGACGGGCCTTCATGCTAGCCTGTTTTAACCTCGAAACGTGTGATAGATAAGTACGTTTAGACATCCCAAATAGGAATATGACGTATTTGTCATTATTTACAAAATTATATAATATAATGATATTGTATAATTATATAATATTATCTTATTTCCA